CAGAAAACCGGGTCTTCAAGAGTCATGAGCAGATATCCTTTTAGGCTTTTTACCAGCTCGATGTGCTCTATAAAACGAGGTATGAATGAAGGAAATCGGAGTTGGGCACCTGGGGCGGTTCCCTCGTTAGAACAATTATGCAGAGCTCGAGATGGACAGATCCGTTCGTCATCACCATATAATGGACAATTTTCAAAACCATCACACAACTGATCAATTCGAATACATTCTGAACTATTCCAACAACGATAACGTCGAGTTAAATCTGTTGGATATTTACTTCGACAGTGTTTTGCTTCTTCATCAACTCCTCCTAGGCAATCAGTATTTCCGTCATTAATCTTTTCTTTTGGCAAAAAATATTGATTCCGACTTATATTATTAGGATTAAGACATGAAATGTCTTTTTCAGCAGAAAAAGCGCATCTTAATTCTCTAGCATATTCATCTCGACCATCTGTACACTGACTAATTCCATCGCATTCCGATACATACTTATAATTACAAAATATTTTCCATTCATCACAATTCATTTCATCATCACCTTCCAGATGAGGATGAACAACTCCATTACATATTTCTTGAAATAGAAAAATATCATTGATTTGAATAGAGGATTCGTTTCGAAGATATCGACAACCTAGATCATCCACAGAACTACATCTCAATGGCAGCATAATATCTGAACCATCTTTGCAAGTGCCTTCACGATTTCCAAAAAGATTTTTGCGTTGAACACAGTCATCTTTCAATAAACATTGAAAATGATTGTTGAGTACGGTACACACGTTCTCCAATGGTTCCAGTTCATCTGAATCAAACAGACAGTCACTAATACCATCTCTCACTCGATGTTTTGAAAGATACGTATGTGTATTAGGACAATGGAACAAAAATGATGATCGATTAAAGTTAATCGGTAAAGCGCATGCATAGAACGTTCTTTCTATCATGGAATAAAGAACAGGCCATTCCTTACTGTCAAATGGCAACCAAGTGAATTCAGTGATATCACGGCAAACGGTACCGTTTTTGTCAGCAAGTGTCGATGGATATAGCTGACACAGACTATTATCATAGCATACAACAGTGGACCAACTAGGAGATGTATCTTTATAATCTTCCTCGTCATTATACTTTAATGGATCTTTACTGTTCTCTTCAAGCACACGAAAAAAATTAACCGATGGATACATCAAAGATATATTTTCAATGAATCGATTCTTATCATTTATCACCGATATTACTTTCATACGATCTCGTCCGGTTTTACATTTTGGAGAAAAAATACGATCAAAAAAATCAGCAGCACATTCACCGTCTCCACAGCTTACAGCTATTACGTAATCGCGAAAGAGTAGAACGTTTTATTACACACTTTACAAGTGCTATTATCGAAATTTAAAAAGAATGCGTTCCGGCAAAATCCTTATAATTTTTAACGACGATAGCTAGAGGCCTCCGGTTTTCACCATTCGAGAGAGGACATCGGGGCACGTAAGCCTATGTCAAATTTGATTGGTTAGCAATTGACCAATCGGGTGAGTTCTTGGTGGACATTTTGAAAACGATATGTCAATTTACAACTGCACAATATTCAATGTCACTCGATTCTCTTCTTGGCCAGCAAATCTATGCCGATCATTCGTTGACTAATCAACCATTTGTTATCAAAATTACATTGTCAATTA